ATTAAAGCCAGGAGTAGGTGATAACAGAACTAATTACCACTTATTAAGCACCTATTGTAGGAAAAGCTGACTTTTCTCAGTTTTCTTTTCCTTCACCACATTACACCTCAGAAATTACTGGATAAGTCAATATATCCTGCTAGAAACTTGGAAATGGTTAAAACACAAATTCTTATAAACATATATAACTGTGGTTTCAATAAGCATCACCTGACACAGTGCCTTTCCAGGTTACCAGTAAAATACTGGTGCTGAACAAAAGTGTGTGCCTAAACAGTATATGTAAGGGATATGAAATCAATGTATTTAGGCAGAAAGACTTGTTAAAAATACAAAATCACTGTTTCGTCATGGCTTTTACAGCACATTTCATATCCAGTTTCTTCTGGAGTCAATAAAATAATCTTTCCCTTTTAATCTTCCCTTTTGTCTAACTAGGTACATGTTATCATCTGGGTGATGACTTAGTGTCTTTGAAAACAGAGAAGAGATAATATATGAGCAGCTCTCTGTCTGTCTCACAGCTAAAGATAAAGCTCATAAAACTGCGGAGAGAAATTTCATGCAATGTGTTCATGAATTTTTTTCATCTCACTTGCAGCAATTTATAGCATTATTTTGTTATTAATACATTTCCCTAAAGTAAATCTTGCTATGAAATATTTGCCAAATATATTTGAACATAACAAGAACATATGGTGGTACATGTTAAATGCAAGAGGTTTGCCTAGCCAGGGATAGCTACTTGTTTTATTTTATATGCCACTACATGATGCCTATCTTGTAGGTTACTCTGAATAAAAGATTCCCAAACATTTCAGTTATTTCTTTTTAAACACAAAACACAACCCAGTGTATGATTAACTAACTTCTCTAAGAAAATGTTTACATAATGCAAGTAGTCTTTGTGATAATTTAACAAAATTGTGTTCATTCATTAACATAACTGTCCTTAGCCTTATGTCAAGAAACAGATATTTACAGTTTAGGAATAAAGAAGAATTATTAATTAATTTTTACACCACATGTTAAAGTGAACATATCATAAAGTATAAGATATTTTAATAGGACAATAAAATTATTGCTGTCTTTTCATTACTAACATATTTACATTGTGTATAACACTTTTCTTCATTTGTTGACCTATTTATACCTGCACCTATATTTCTTCTTTTCCATTTCAGACATTATATAGAATTCCTGAAACATATGTTCCTCCTGAGCTAGCAGCCCTGATGTCAGTTTACACTACACAAATGATAACTGATAAGGAAATGATGGGATTAAGCTGTTCAGGGACTTGCAATAACTTACTATGATAAGAGCAGCTGCCATATCAGTTTTATTAACCCACTAAATCACTACTAATAAATAAGATAATAGCTTTTGTCCTTCGTGTCTGAAAACCAAGATTCAACTGATCAAAGTCTACATGAAATTAAAATGTAACTTCAAATCAAACAGTCTACCAAGTGCATGAAATCTGTTCGGTGGGCTCCACTGTGATCTTCCTTACTCTGGGGAGCTATTCTGAGTGAGGGTGGGATATGGGTCTTTTTGTTCACCACAGTAATCTAGAACAGAGTCAGCACTAGGACACTCAGTCAAGTGTCTACTCAATAAATAATTATTAATAATGAATGTTTTTGGACATCATGTACCCTGTTTTACTATTCTCTGTATCTCAAAAACTCTTTAGCACCATGCTTTGTATGTCAATATAAATATGAATGGATTATTGCTATAATACAGTCATAATATAAAATATATAAAACATTCTTTATTTGCTATCTTGTACCTATATCATTTTGTTTCATCTTTGTTTATTTAGAATACAAATTTAAAATTATTGCACACAGAAAAAAATCAGGTTTATATTTTCAGTCTATTGGTGGTAAATAGGTGGTAAATCAAAGAGAAGAAAAAACACAAAGTAAGTCAGTTTTATTTCCATGTTGAGACTCTGCAGAGTCTCCCATTAGAGCTTTTGATATTTTTGGCAGGAAGAGGATGGTAAGAGTGAAAGAAGGGGTGAAAGTATGGAAAAGCTAATGCTGCCTGCCAATTGACTAGCTTTGACCCCAATACACACTTATGTTAGATGAAGCAGGTGGAGGCTTTCTGACCCCAAGTATTAATCCTGAGAGACTTTTTCCATCAGCAGCAATGGCTTCCTCTACATCAGACTTGGTATTGGAAATAAATTTTTCAATTTTTTTTCTCATTTTGACAGTGGATGATATCTAGACTTATGTAATCATTCTGTCCATCTGGATTTTTTATTGTTTTCAATGTATCTGTTTGCTTTAAATGTTTTATCTCTTCCTTTTGGCTGAATAAATATTTGGCTCATTTTATTTAAACTTTTTCCATTTTTCACTTTTTGATGAGGGTAAAAAGTGGCACCTGCACAAAGGTAGGTTGTCCAGACTGACCATTTTACTAGCCGTTATCAGAATTTCAAGATGCAGAACTTTAAAACAGACACAAAATTCACTCATATTTTAGACTCTCCTAATCATGTCTTTGTCACAAAAATCAGTGTTTCCCAAATTTTTGGATTTCATATATAGGCCAGCAAAATTTCAAAAGGCAATTTCTCATGAGCCCCCAAAGCATCTACAGACAGTTTTAGAAACAGTGGTCCTATCTTTTGCCAGGATACAGAAGAATCTGTTGAGTTAATCATCATCTAAAATAAATTGTGCCCAAAAGAACATACTCTAGCTATTTTATGAGAATTTGATAAAAATCAAGAACTTATTTTTTAGTGATTATCATCAGAATATTAATCTTAATTTATTTAATTTACTTAAGTAAATTTAATTTAATAAATAAATTTAATTTATTTAAATTTATAATCCACAGAAGTTAAATTAATAGCACATTCATTAGAGTCTTGAAATAATTCAATATGCATTTAGTATGTTTCGGATACTATACTAAACACTATGACAATAAGTTTTGCAAAATTACTAGTAAAATAGGGAGAAATTATAAATTCCTGTTTATCCAATATATGTTTAATTCTTCATTTATTTTTATATTTCATCAATTGTTCACATTTCTATAAAGAAAAAAATTTTGACAAGATGTAAATTTTTAAAGTAGTCAACAGTCATTTGAAATGATGATTGTAGCAATGACATACTAATATAGAGAAATGTTCAAGGTAAAAATTAATAGCAGAAAGAAAAATTGTGTTTGTGTTACAAATCTGTTTTCATATAATTTGTATAAAACATAAATCTCTAAATAAAGACAAAAAATAACTTAAAATGTCTCGAGTGACATGAGGAAATGTTAGATCTTGGAAGAAGAATCTGTTAATAAATTTTTTAAAAGTTACATTAGACAAAAGAATAAGATGTATACCTCAAAAAAATCAAAAGTTCAATTAGATAATTGTTTTGTTGACAATCACTGGTACTGGAAAGCTGATTGTACTAGCTGCCAAAGCACAAATTTTGGAGCCAGATAAAACTGGATTTAAATGACAATACTTTTATTTTGTAGAATCTGTATGGCCTTGGGCAAGTTAATAACCTTTGAACTGCACTTTATTCATCCATAAGACACAAATTTATAAAATTTGTAAAACTCAATCTTGTTTTGTCATTGTAGAGAATACAGCATGTATGTGTGCATGTAGTGCTCAATAAATAATTTTTAATTGAAGTGCTGATTTTTGGAGATATTGAATGATTAACTTCGATGATTAAGGATAGTGAGGTTGAAAGCAAATTCATTTCTCCATTTATAACTATACATTATCTCATTTAACACAACAAAATTATGAGATAGCTATCATAAGCTTACTTTACACTAATGAAAAGCTGAACAATTCTTCCAGTGTCAGCTCTACACAGAAGCTCCTAAACACTAGGTAGTGCTAGCATTTGACATACTTTTGAAAGTACATCAAAAAGTGTTTTCTTTATATATATCTTTCAAGATAACAATCTAAAACTATTTCTTGGAAATAAACAATAACAGGAAAATTACCTAAATAAGAACAATTACATCAACACATTATCATTACAAGATACACAAATTTACATCTTCCAATATCTTTTAACACATTTAGCTTACATGTGGAGAATTTCATTTTCCCCATAATATCAAAATACCACACGTGTAATAGGCATGTTATAAAAAGCAAATGGCATACAGTGGGATAGGAAAAAATTCTAGTTGTTAATGCATTTCTCTTGGGCACATCTGTTGTTAGATATCAAATTGCCCAAAGTGACCACATATTGTTATATAAACCTAAACACTGGAGCCTCACTGTGTCACAATGGGCAGGGTTAATGATTCAACCCTAATCCTAAAGGCTCCTTCCAGGATTAATTGACTTTCCCTGCAGCCTGCCTGCCTGCCCACTTATAGATTCTGTGAAGAGGATTTCTCTCCATTACTTTGCCTGTCTTTCTACTATCTATTTACTTCAAACATTATCTAATCTTTCTTTCACCTATACAATTCACTAGGACTCAAATTCAGCAGAAAGTTTAACTGAGTCAACTTTGAAAAAAAACTGACTTGATAAGGAAAGGGACAACTTTGTCTTTTTTAATCTCACATTTTATTTCTCCTCAGACTACAGTATTAACATTAATAGGAATCATTCATATACTATTGATATGATACTATGATTGATAATATACTATGTTGCCAACCACAGAAAGGATATGAATGAGACAAAATTTCTATTCTCAAAGTACGTTGGTTGAGGGGAAAGAAAAGTTAATTTTGCATTAGGGTAGGTACCCACAAACTGCTATGAGGGTACAAGGAAAGAGCCTAAAGCAAAATCAAGAGACCAAGGAAAGAGTCATAAGATATTTATGAGACATTCTTTTAAATGGATAAGATTTCAACAGACATGTAAGGAAAGGAAAAGAACATCCTCCATAGAGGAAAACAGCATAAGCAAAAGAATGACCGCTGATGATGACATAAAGGTTGCTAGGCAATAATTTGGTAAGTTCATAGGCTACATGCTGAAGAGTGAGAAGCTGATGATAAGATAAGAAAATAGGTTGGGTTTACTTTTTAATGTATCCTGAAAGGTGGGGTATGAAAAGTTGGTCCCTAACAGTAGAAATTATAAGCTGCTGAACATGAAGGAGATATGATTGAATTTGAAGGTATTAGTCATCAATATTTTTTTTTAAGATTTATTTATTTGTTTATACAAGCACTGGGTACAGTCAGAAGCACGGGAGGGTGAGAGAATTCACCAGAGCCAGAGCGGGTAACAGAACAGGCAGACTGACTGAAATACACTGCTAAGGGGAGCAGCGGGCATGGCAGGAGAGGTCTGTGCACCATGTGGGACTCTTGTCGGCGGCTGGGGATCTCGAACTGGCGCTTAAGAGGCTGCAGGCAGCTTCGCAGCCCAGCACTCAACCGCTGCACCATGGGGGGAGGCCCATTAGTCATCAATATTAATATAAACTTTAGAGGCTAATTGGAAAAATTGTATTGAATGGACTGGAAAGTCAGAGTGAAGTCAGGGTATAAAAATAAGAATGGAGAGAGACAGACTCAAGAGATTTCAAAAATAGGACCTGATTTTTGGTAAGTGCCAAAAACTGAACTTGCTAATGGGGTATCCATAGCGACTAGTTACACATGGGTACTGAGCTCTTGAAATGTGACTAGTCTGAGTTGAGATGTACTATAAGTGCAAAATAGACATTGGATTTCAAAAATTTCATAGGCAGTAAGGGATGTGAAATACCCCATAATTTTTATTTTGATTACATGGTAAATAATATTTGGATATGTAGGATTAATTAAAAATATTAAAATAAATTTGTTTCTTTTTTACTTTTTTCATGTGGCTACTGAAAAAAATGAATTAAATATCTATTGTGTTAAATTTCATTGAATAATGCTAGACTATATGTTAGGACAGAAACAGATACTAGACAGATAAGAAAGCTCATGTTATAAGAGAGAAGAGGACCTAGGTTGGGCTATCACATAGAAGACAAAGTTGCATATATTTATTTTAAGAGGACACTATCAGCAGATTCAAATGGTAGACAGGTGCCAAGACAAGTGAATGACAGTAAAAATGAGTTATTGAGTTTTTGCCTAGGTAAAGAATGGACAGGGTGGAGACATGATCACTGGTGAGGCAAGTAAGCAGATGGCTACTCTTTCAAGAAACAGCAAAGAGAAGGAAAGCAACAGAGCAACCTTGAAAGGTATGCAGGTTTGAGGTGATTTCAGCATAAAAGATATCTGGAAATAGAGACAAACTACAGGGGAGGAGAAGAGAGTAGGATCAAAACAAGGGTGGGAAGAGCATTAGGGACCATGGTGATAGTTCATGGGTGAATGGGTGGTGGGAATTTTATGGGGACTATAACCAAGATGAAAATGCATGCATTGTACAAAAATGAAAGATGATGTTAAAAAATATTAGAAAATTAATTAATTAAAATTTAAAAAATATATCTGGAAAAGTAAAGAAAAGGCAGAAAACAGAGGAAATAATGGGTTACTCATAATCTATGACTGGGGTTTCTCTAGTTATTGCTGCAAGAGAAATTAAAAGCTGAAGTTATTAAGAAAAAGAGTAAGTGGGGCCTCCCTGGTGGTGCAAGGGGTTAAGATGCAACCTATGAAGCTCTCCACAGCCTCTGTAGCACGAGTTCCCGGCCAGCCAGGGAACAACCCACATGGCGCAGCAGACCTCTCCTATCTCGCCCGCTGCTCCCCTCGGCAGTGTGTTCATCAGTCTGCCTGTTCTGTTCCCTGCTCTGTCTCTGGTGAATCCTCTCATCCTCCCACACATCTGGCCTGTACCCCAGTTCTTGTATAAATAAATAAATCTTTTAAAAAAATGTAGGTGATGGCTTATTTTATGTTTATATTTATATTAGGAGGTAACAAAAGAAGTCATTTATGCATTTTATTTGTCTTGAAGGGGAAAAAAGGGATTATTGAGAAATTGTTATGTAGAGAAGAAAAGAAGTCAGAGGAAGAACCTGAACCATGCTTCATCCCTGGCTTTGGTCTGCTCTTTGGGAATATTTTAGATTTTTTTTGGTCACATTTCCTCTCATGACACTGGTAGCTTTAGTAGTGGTTCTAGGATTATGAAAATGATTCATTCAAATTATTGCAAAAGAAAAAATAGTATGTTATGATTTTTCTATGTAAATTTTGTTTTTAAAACATAATTCCAAAATCCAAAGTCTGCTTCATCAAGAAGAGAATACCAGGTTCTATTCACTGATAAATACTGATTTCAACCCATGTGAAGCCTCAGGTACAAGGTACCACATGTATAGACCTAATAGGTGCTCTCAATGTGTCTTACTTTGAATGACCTCTTGTTCCAAGCCGCCTTGTTGTTAAGAGAGGAAATTTCTGGCGAATTGTCTGAAAAAAAAAAAGACAATTATTTTAGTTTTTAAAAAGAGTGTGGGTCTAGTGCAAGTCACTTGCAACTAATTAATTCTAGGAAGTAAAATGTTGAACTTTGAGTAAATATTTAGTCTGGAAAAAATAATACCATTCACATATTGCTAAGCAATAATACAACATCAGGAGAGGCAAGAAGGAACTTCTTTTTTAAAGATTTATTTATTTATACAAGCACTGGGTACAGTCAGAAGCACGAGAGGGTGAGAGAATTCACCAGAGCCAGAGCGGGGATCAGAACAGGCAGACCGATGAAATACACTGCTGAGGGGAGAAGCGGGCATGGCAGGAGAGGTCTGCGTGCCATGCGGGACCCTCCCCTGCATCTGGGGATTGAAACGGTGCTGCAGAGGCTGTGGGCAGCTTCGCAGCCCAGCACTCAACCGCTGCACCACAGGGGAGGCCCAGGAAGGAATATTTTTTGATGAGGTTGTCTACTACCTTTATCTCAATTTCCAAAGAAGATCATACTAATACCTGTTTTTGCTTGATGTTACTACCAAAGCAGTTCTTGCTTTATTTATATACTTAGTGGGAAGATTTAGATTTCTTTATAATAAACCAGAGATTTACCACAATTAAATATCTGGCCCAGTCTCACCTGGGAAACATGAATCTCCCTTTGTATTACTGGATCTCAACAGCAGTTTTTAGAAAGTGTTTTCTTTTCTATGCACTTTTCTCTAATTAGCAAAAATTAGTGTATGATTAAAGAACAAAAAAAAGTCTTCTATATAAAACAGGAATTTTAACTAGAATTATAACAGATCCATTCATGATCTCTGAAGGGCTCTATCAGGTAAGTTTTTGTGTATGTCGATTTCTCAGGAATTGTTTCAATAGTTTTACTTTTTTTTTTAAATCAAATTCTCAAAGTGTTTCATGACTCCCCAATAGCTAAGGATTTCTGACATAAGGTGGACTCAGAACAGTAATACTAAATGGACCTTAGAAGTTGTCTTATCCAATCTCCTCATTTTATAGAATGAGTGAACTGAGAATTGAGGTTAATTGACCTTCAGAAAGTCTCACAACAAATTAGTCACAATCTAGGCAAGAACCTAAATCACTGAATCACCACACATACCACACTGTCTCCTATAAACAGATAGTTTTTCAATTAGTTAATAGATTATTTTTAAAATCTGGAAAGTTGGGGCATAGTATGCATTATTTTCTGGATGATGAGTCCCTCTACAGGTTAGAATTTGGATTTCAGTTTATCAGTTATGGGATGCAGTATTGGAGACCCATGTTTCCCATAGTTTTCCTAAGGCATCCTGGGTTCTTAAAAATAGAGCATGACAAAAATCTCAAAAACAAGACTTGCCCAAGACATTGACACTGCTTCATCATTCTCACAATGAGAGCAACATATTTAAGTCTACTAACATCAGTTCTATACATTCCCATCCTAACCATACAGGTTGGGTAAAAAGGAATGTTTTCAAATCAGAGAAATTTAACCAACTCCAACAAAAATTCCTTAGATTTGGGGGTGTACACATTTTCAGCATGAAATGGAGAATCAGAACTACTGATGTAATGGAATAAAACCCTGTTAAAAACTCATATACTTGGGCTAGCTAAATGATAAACACAACCCCCAACTGCATCATCGAGATACTTGTCACCACCACTTTGTTTTTCTTCATAACATAGGACATAACACACTCTTCAGTGTGTTATTTCCCTCTTTGAAGGGAAATATCATGACTCAAATGGAGCTTCCTAATGGGTCATATTATATCTCCCAATGGCCAGGGTTCTAGCAGTCAAAATCAAAGCAAAATAAATTTCTAAATATTCTGTAAGAACACTTGCTCAGATTAATTTGTTTCCATATGCCTATCTTACAAGGCTCTAGTTGTAAATAGTGTAACCAGTATGTCATTTACCTTTCCAAAGGTGGCTGCACAAGCTGGCTCCAATTTCTCTTTCCTGCAGAAATCTAAGTAGTGTGCATAAAGGATGCACCTTGGTAAGCAAACTCCTTCACATACAATGTAATTCTCTTCAAGCCTAAGTAAGAAAAAAAAAGGGTAAAATCTTTCATTTCTCCTTTCCTTTTCTCTTTTATTTTTTTCATGATGAATTGCTCATTTTGAAAACCTGATTACATACAAATGAGTTCATGAGTAAACTTCCTTTATTTGGGATATTATTAAAAATTGGATCATGTGGATTAATGTTGGTGCAGTTTAAGTATCATGGCTAATGTAAAAATCACTCCTGCCTGGTCCACATCCCAAGTAATAGGTGTTACTTCTATGTAAATATTCACTGTTCATCATGGTCTGTTCTGTGATATAAAAAAAAATGGTGAAATTGAAGATGATGGTTTTTTAAAGGAACATTCTCAACACTAAAATGTTGTTGAGTTTTAGGTTGACAATTGCCAACAATCTTATTTTATTTCACAAACTATTACAGTTCTGAGCCCTTGATAGTTATGGAAATATGGAGATGCATTTATTTGCAAAAATCACATAAACAAAGCATACTTCATTTGAGTCTGAAATGATACACTGAAGTGATACCCTACAACATTTTGCTGTGGTGAGTACTATAATTACCACAAATGTTGTATACTCCAAATTAAATGTAATTCTCTATAGTTGACTCTATATATGCCAAAACTCCAACTGCATATTATAAATATCATTATATAAGCTTGAAAATTTAGAGATAATTCTATTTAGTTTGGATGCTGCATTGCATCCAAATGCAACATATATATGCAATAATACATATTTCAGTATTACAACTACTTGAACAGTAATCTAGAAATCAAAACATGTAGATGTTATTTCCAGTTTCCTAACAATTAAGTAAGTTATTTTTGGCTGAAATTTACTTATACCCACTTTACATAAGTAAAATTATATTATTATAATAAATTTATAATAATTATACAGGGAAATACAGAGTAGGCATTTAGATTAAAATTGGGTGAAACCCTTCATGATCTTCAATTCAGCATATTCCCAAGATGAATGAAATAAAAGCTAAAGAAGGAGTTTCCTGAGCCAATAAAAGGAAAAGCACTAGATGCCCGTTTTCCTATGAAGAAAAAAAAAAGGACCAAAATCTAGTAATTGTTACATAACTAAAACCAGACGCCTAGTTGACAATGAAAACTGGAGTTATTCAACAAGATTTTTCACTTTGATTTCCAGTTCCCATTTCTTATATGCCCCCAAATCATCATAACCTTAAAGAAAAATTATCAAACATAAAACCAGGTTTTTAAAAATTTAACAGTCATTTTAAAGGTGAGAGTATGGAAAATTCAAATAAAAATGATAGTGTTTCATAGTTTCAAAAATATTAAAACCACTTATAAGAAACATTCAGTTTTTTAAAGATTATACTTCAATGGCATGCATATAATGCCCACTACTCATTTGCTACTTTGATACTCTTGTAGGCATTATCTTTGTCTTGTAGGCATTTTAATTCTGAGCATGGCATTTTTCACTTCTTTAATTGTAATCCTTGCATATTAATAAAACAAAAACTTCAGTTTATTTCCAATTCACTCAATTTGAACTGAAAAAAAAATGGAAGGCATCATTCAAAGGAACTCCATAATATATTTGAAATCAAAACTCTTTTGTTCCAATTATCCTACCTAAAGAAAATAGTTGTACTCTAAATATTTCATATAATTAGTTAAATTATTTCCTGCTCTAGTGTATTCTTAATCAGCAAACATGACACCAACTTTAATAGCTCAACAACAACTTAAGAATCAAATCTGGTTTCTATTCCAAATATTTGAAAGTGCTCAAGTATATAAAAACAAAAATTTAGCATATGCAAATTGTAATTCAATGATTAAATAAATATTAAATTTACTAGTTTTTAGGAACTATTTTTATTGCATTTTTCTAAGGTTCATATTATACTTTACATTTACATTTTATATTTATATTGCACAGATTATTTACTAATCTATAAATGAAAAGACCTTTTCATTTCTTTATTTATAATTAGGAATTTGGAAGGAATTTTATACACTAATTTCTTTGCACTATGTAGAGAGTTTAATGTTTTGTCTTTTACTTAAGATTTCATTTCCTTTTTAGAGCAATATTACAAATTGTTGTCTCTATATAGAAAGTCTACTGATAATCTCTTGTGTTTAAAAGATTTTCCACAAAATCCAATTTGTGATTTTTCACTATAATAAATCACATATGGCAGGTGCTATAAAAATAGTTGAACATTTATTTAAGTTAATAGTGATATCTTGACTAATTTTTCTACGTATTCTAGTTCAAATACAGTTTATCTTTTAACTAATACATTATTTTTAATGTGTAATGTGCACACTTACGGGTAATGGTAATGTAAAGATCCTCCCTTTAAGGTGTTTTTAGGAATCGTGTTTTATAAACACAAAAACTACCAAATAACAAATATTTAAAAAAACAAATTGATTGCACATTAAGCAAATTTCATTAAAAACATAATTGTTTACATTTGAAGAAATTATAGTTTTAGTCAATAATGAGCAAAACATTGTGATTTTTATGGTAATGCAGGCAATTTCCCATCAGTACCAAAATATACCTCTAACACAGATACACAGAGGGAAAAAAAATTGAGTTTCTAACTGACCCTTTAAACTTCCCCACAAAAGTTTGATGGAGAAGCAAACTGAAAAAAGCAGTTTTTGAAGACACTGACTTTTATAACTCAACAGGTGTTTAAGAGGAGCCGAGTGGGCAAGTCTTACCACTGCAACGTGAGCTGAGTCTGCTTCTTTTTATCCTTCATAATCTGCGTGATGGTTTTCTTCTGCGAGAGGTGCGAATCAGCTGCTTTGGCTTTACTGTCGTGACTGTCTGCATCATCTTCTTCAGAGGAAAAGCTACCATTGCTTAAACGCATTTCTGATTGCAAGTTGAAAAGAGGATAAAAAAAAATCAGGATATAAAACCAACTAAGTAATCTCGAAATGTACCTTTTTGGATACAAATGGGGTACACATATAAAAAGGGCGATGGCGGAGTGGGGGAACAGAAATGGGGGAGAGTTATGAAAAAAAATCGCTTAGCGTTAACAATCTAGTTGACAAACATTTTCTTGAACGTGAACAGCGTATACCCCATCTCTCTGTGTGAGAAGTGATGCTTATTTTTATCACTGGTTGCCCTCCTTAGAACATTCGCGCTACAAATTACATCCTGAGAGGGGCAGAGCACTCACCAGATTTAACTCCCACCCGCAGCTCCGGATCTTCACTTCTCTCCGCGCTGCCCAGCGCGCCCCCAGGCTGAGTTTCAGGCACCAGGTAGGCCCGCTCCTCGGGGTAGACGAGCAAGCCCCTGCCCAGGAGCTGTACACAGCACTCCTCCTGGACTTCGGGGGAAACTTGGGACGAAGGCTGAGCCTGCAGGAAAGCGTCTTCTAGCTCCGGAACCTTGGACATCCTGCTGGCCGACGGAGACCAGGGCACCCGCCGCTCGGCGGGCTCCCAGCTGAGCCCCGAGCCCGGGGCGGGGCGAGGAGGGGCGGGGCGGGGGGCCCTGGGGCGGAGGCTGCAGGTTCCGATGCCCCGCGGCGTCGCGGAGACTGCAGCCGGCGCACAGGTACAGCTCTAGCGGCGCCAGGTAAGGAGGGGGGGGGAATGCGGAGCAGGACCCTTTTCCACCTGTCAGTCTGCCGGGCTGATGCTCACCTGTCTTGCCCGTCTCCTCCGGAGCGACAGAGCGCCGGTCCCCACACCTCTTTCCTCCCTCACAGCTTGCGGTGGACCCGTGGACACATTTCATACAGCAACTCCCAGAAAGATCTGAGCGGGCTCCGCTCTGATTTCCTTCGGAAGAGCAGCTACAACTGCCTCCGTCCCTACAACCTGGAGACGCGAATGACGCTTGCGGCCGAACAGCCTTGATTCTGCTCACCTGGGCCAGGGAAGGGAGGCCCCCAGAGCATTCTTTGCTCAGTCTTTGTACGCAGGGCTGATTTATTATTTCTGGAGTAGTCCTACGGGGTGCTGAGGGCTGTACTTAGTGACCTGTGGACAGACGCCATCGTATCACACACTTGTCCAGAGTGCCCGGCTCCTGGGCTCACCAGCACCCAGGATGCCGGATCTCACGCCGTTTTGTATCGGGGCTGCTCTGTAACAGGGGCACTAACTGGCCCAGAACTAGAAAAAAAGTTATGCGTTCTCTGCGATTTAGTGTTTGGTGACTTAAACGCGTGCGGCAGGCCTGACGATCCCTCATCTCTTATACTGGGAAAGAGCCGTGTACAATTGTTAAAATGAAAAATAAAATCACAATTTACAAAATAGCGAGAGAGTCCTCTGCATTGAAAATCATAGCCTGTGCTCTCTTCAAAAAGAAGTTAGGAGAGACTTGGAGTCAGCGTTGCCTAGCTGCAGACTGACACACAATCTCTCCTTCCATGTTCTTTTAACAAATAAGCCATGTGATTACTGCTATGCCTAACGCTCTGGGGGGTGGAAGGGGAGAGGGAAGAGGAGGGGATTTGGATACTGTTAGCCTTATTTGGAACATTGTTAAGAGAAATCACCCCTTAACTTGAATTTAGAATTAGACTACATAGCATGGAAATTTAACATAGAACAATGACAACAAAAATGGCCCCCTATGTGGTAGGAAGGTAATGAAAGGGTGAATTATGGGGAACTGTAATACAGTCTAAGAGCATTACCTTGCCTAAACAGCCAGGATTAATGGTGTGTTTGAACCTTATCCACTCTTTAGTACCATTATGGAAAAGCCATCACCTCTCAAGTTTCTCTTTACCTGGTACCTCCAGAAGTTGGGTCCAATTAGGACCACCCATCCATCCAAGCAATCAAAGATAGGCTACCACCTCCCACAACCTTGTCTATCAATCCTCTCTTCCCAGTTTTCAAAAGCCTCAGAGCTTTCTCAGTCCTTAGGGCTTTGCTCTTCAATACTAAAATTTAGAATATTCCTCCTTTACAGAGACACCCTCAGACTCATAGTGATTAACTATGAATATGCTCATAATTACATACACACACAAAACTCAACCTACTTATATCACAAATTCAGAAGAAAAGCATTCAGGAAAATAGTGGGATTTCTTTTTGAATTTTTAAAAATACTAAACACTTGCTATCCAGTTTGATTGTGTGTGTGTGTGTGTGTGTGTGTGTGTGTGTGTGTAAGTCATACAGACACTAAGTAAATATCTGGCAATTATCCAGCTTACATGATCAATGAAAATACAAAGATCATTTAATGTTCTTTTTGCCTTTATTTTAGATAAACTATCTTCTTAACAAAATATCTAAGTTCTTTGTGCTTCTGGTCAGAAATCAAAATTAAATGGATCTGTAACAAAGAAATTAAATGAATAATCAAAAACTTACAACATAAAAAAGCCCAGAGGCTTCACTGGTGAATATTCAAACAATTACTATTTGAGGAATTAATGGCAATACTTCTCAAATGAATAAAGCAGTGCTCAAAAAGAGTGGGGATGGCAGAAATTGTCATTATGCTAAATTGTCCTTTGTGGTTATAATTAATTTGAGCATATACACCCAAAGTTTTAAAGACAAAATAGTTATGAGTCATAAGAATCCAGGCAGGGGGCCTCCCCGGTGGCGCAGTGGTTGAGCGCTGGGTTGCGAAGCTGCCCGCGGCCTCTGCGGCGCCGGTTCGATCCCCGGCTGCTCCCCGGCCATCGGAGGAGGGTCCCACATGGTGCGCAGACCTCTCCTGCCACCCGCTGCTCCCCTCAGCAGTGTACTTCCGTCCTTCTGCCTGCTCTGCTCCCCACTCTGGCTCTGGTGAATTCTCTCACCCTCCCGCGCTTCTGACTGTACCCAGTGCATGTATAAACAAAACAAACAAACAAATATAATAAATAAATAAATAAATAAATAACATGCCTCTATTAAAAAAAAAAAAACTATAAAAAAAAAAAATAAAAAAAGAATCCAGGCAGGAAAATAATAACAAAAAGAAATTTTCAAAAACAGTGATTAACATTTTTTTAAATATTCTCTTCAAGAAATCACTATGGTTATTGAACACACAATTGCTAGACAATTTTATGAATAATCACTACATCTTTGATCACCATTGTTCCAAAGTTAAAGCTGTGTCTTACACCTCAGACAGGGACTTAATTTTGAATGACAATCTAGAGGTAGTAACTCAAGCTTGAGGCACAAGTGTCTCCATTGAGAGAAAGCTGCTGAATCTAGTTCCGGGTTTTAAATATTCATTAAATTTTTCCTAGGGCTATGATGTTAGACTTTCTTGCCTTGTAACTCTTCAAAATAGAAACCCTAATGAATCACCCATCTATGTTAATTTGTGTTTATATTTACTTGATACATTGTTCAGTAAACTAAAAAGCAGGATAGAAAATATATAGATACTTATTACATCACTCTTTTTATTTATACAAAAATCATTTCAAAATAAAAGTTTAAAAACATTAAAGTTTTATCTTTGGCTAAGTTGACCTAAAGTTGTTTGTAAATGGAAGGTATTTAAATATTATAGTTCTAGGGGAATATGTATGCACATAAAAATGTTAAAAGCTTGAAAACTGTTTTTATTATGTTACTGTTACAAATAGAGTGCATGTAAATATTTTAATATTCATTTCCTTAATTAAAATAAAATCACTGTTTATTGAAAATTACTTTGTTCAACCTTAACACTCAGCATCTCCACTAAACTTTATCCTTCACATATAAGTAACCACTTAACTCTCCATTTTCAATAAAAGATAATCTAATGGACTTTTTGCGATTAATATAAAATTAATTGTATGTTCACAACAGTGAAAACAATAGATTAGGTTAATCCATGTACAAAAGTAAATAATGGACTGCTTTATTTGTTATCTGAGAAATGTTTCTTATATAGTGTGGTAAAAAGTGTACATAGTAAATAACAAAAATATTACTTACAAATCAAAATAAATATTAAATATGTATATTAAACCATCGATAGTATTTGGTAGCTGCCTACTAAATAATTGGTATAAAAAATGAATGGAAGAAGCATATCTAACAGACTCCAGTATGATAAGTACTGTTATGGTAGCATGCACAAAGTGCTCCAGGAGCACTGAGGTGAGTGTGACCAGCTCAGGCAAGGCAGCCTTGTCCAAGGAGGGCAGACCAACAGCTCCACAGATAATATAACTTTCTTGTTGCATTCACAGGGGGAAGGCAGGCTAGACTTACAGAAGTGCACATCTGGTTGGAGGACCACCTAATTGGAGGATAAGGAGAACCTACTTGGAGCATCATGAGACCTGAATAATCATGAGTTGAGGTCAGATCCTAAGGGATCTAGTTCAAGCTAAGAAATGTATAATTTATTTTAACTTATGGTAATGAATCATTGAGGTGGATAGGAAGTCTAAAGAATGAGTGGGTTGCAGGAGAGGAAAGTTAGGAAGACCACATGATAAAACATGGGATTCAGCTAGGGCATGGACAGTATATAGAAAAGAAAGAGTGACTCGGGGAAAGACTGGGAAGCATACATGGTGATTGTGATCAATTTTTGCAATATTGTTTCCTAATAATTCCTACATTCTCCATGCATGCCTTTGGATATCCCTTATATGTGGACTCTGAACTTGAGGACGCAAGCAGAGTCTTGCAAAGCATTTATGCACTGGGGCATCTCTTCTCTTTTGCTGATGCTGGAAACCTTAAGACCACTGACTGCTATGAAGCCAAGAGAACAAGGCAAGCTTGCTGGAAACATGACAAACCAGCTGACAGCCAGAATTAACCAATAAGTACAACCAACTGTAAATAAAGGCACTCTAAAACAACTGGTCTCCAGGTGCCTTGCCACTTGAGTACAGATTCATGAATGAGTCTTGGTGAAGCCCAGTCCAACTGAGTTCCAAGTAGATTGCTGACTCAATGAAATGTGCACAAATAAATGATTGTGATTTCCATTCACTGAAATTTGGGATTGTTTGTTACAGCAAAAACTAACTGATACACTAATGGATTGGTGATAGCTTTACATATCACAAGAAGTTGGCTGAACTTGTAGAGACATCAGAGTGGCTGTAGCTAGTGGAAAAGCAGTTTGGAGAGTGAGTGTGGAGCAATATTTTATTTTATTTTTTTGATGGGGCATTTGTTTATCTGAGATGGGGAGGGATAGAAGTTAAAAGTGAAGGATATTTTGAATAATAAAACTTACCTCCAAGGATTCATACAAAGATCAAATACAATATACATTAAAATACTAAATAAAAAATGTTACTTTATAAATTTATGTGTAGATAAGTAGATTATACATATTTTATTCTCTATTTGACTTTTTTTAAAAGATTTATTTATTTGTTTATACAAGCACTGGGTACAGTCAGAAGCACGGGAGGGTGAGAGAATTCACCAGAGCCAGAGCGAGGAGCAGAACAGGCAGACTGACGAAACACACTGCTGAGGGGAGCAGTGGGCGCGGCAAGAGAGGTCTGCACACCGTGAGGAACCCTCGCCGGAACCAGCGCAGCCTCGCAGCCCAGCGCTCAACCGCTGCGTCACCAGGGGAGGTCCTCTGTTTGACTTTTTAAGAAATTTCACAGAGATATACCCACACATTCCACTTGGCGGAGAAACAATGTGCGGTACCCCAGGATACTCTAAAACAGCTACTTAAATTTCCTGACTATCACCTCTGTAAGATTCGTAGGCATCTCTCTTCTACTGCACCTCCAGAGAATTCTGTAGTTGCTTTTATAAAAAGAAATGTTCATAATGAGATACAGTCTATGGGTATTAAAAAAAGATAAGGTATTCCAAGTGTGAACACTGACTCAAATAAATTCGGCAAAACAAACTTTTTCTTTTTCAACCCTTTAGTTACAGTATAATATTTTCCACATATTTTCTTAGTGGCTACTAGGTAATAACTGATGCTATAAGATAAGCTGTTTTATTAAAGATTTAATTTCCAAAGATAATGTGTAGTCTACAAAGTGAAAATAAATTGCTTCATGTTAAACCAGTGTTCATTTGTGAGAAATGGGGAAAAGCAGGAAGGAGAAAGGTTTTCAGTTCTAATATTCCATCATAACTAGGCAAATAATTGAAATGAAAAGAATTTTATTGTAACTATGGATTTTTAGTTGTTTCCTCTACTGTCATAGACAATATAGAAAGAATTAGAGCATCTAAAATTTAAGAAAGTATACATGCTTTATTATAACTTTGTCCTGAATTTTCTGTAATCAATAGCTGACTCCAAAACTGTATTTCTTCTCAGTGTGCTTCTGTATA